GGACCTGCATAACCTATCTGTTGTTTGTCTCTGTGTTGAACTATCAGAAAATGCAATCAGGAGTAAAGATGAAGGCTGGAGTTAAACTCCAGTTTACTCATTTAAATGGACCCTATATAATTGTTTATGAATAACCCAACAAAACAAGGTCAACAAATCTGAATATGGCTGTTGAGATATTGAAACATTTTGAAGTACATTAATCGGGCTAGATGAGAACCTCTATCTTTGTCACCTACTTATTATCCAGCCCCAGCAATTAAATGCCTTGACTTCTCCTGACATTACACCGAACAGGACTTGAAGTAATACAAAACAAGTGTAACATGGAAGCAGTTAGCTCACATACGCTGAAATACTTCAAATGATACAATAAATAAAATCTTAATCTCTAAGGAAGGAAAATAACAATGAAGATCACTTCAACTCCATAGTATAGTTTTGTTATGCACGTATTTCGACCAGAAATTTCAATAAAACATTCCTCTAATTTAGCGGTAATAATTCTGGCTTTTATATGGAAGTGTATGAATTACAGGCTTGGTTACAAGGTAACTCTCAGTTTCCAGAAATAAGATCAGCTAATCATTAAGTGGGGTGGTGCTGCCTCAAGTAGTTAGTTGAATGGATAAAATGTTTTTGCTTACATGTCAAGACTCCATATCCAGGAATTAACTTAAGGAACAGGGAGAGGGTTGGCTTTGATTTGTTTCCCCCCTTTTTTTTCTTTTTTTTTTTTTTAAGAAACATAAAATAAGGGGTCCTAAAGATGTGATTTTCCAGATCCAAAAGGCTATACTTGATTAACTAAGACTTACTTTTTAAATTAATTTGCCTTTACAAGTTGGTGAGAAAATTATAAGGAGTCAGCATTAGCTTACTTTGGTATTTTACTTCTGGAATCAACCTTGGAGTCAAATGCACCAGCTGTTAAAGATAAATTTGTGTCAAGGGGGATAATTTGGATTTATATATTGAAAAGTAGGTTGGCACTGCCTTTTCCCTTGCCCTCAGACTTTGGTTTTCTAGAGTCAGCGGAACTCACAGTTTGGAAAGAAGCAAGGCAAAAAGAATTGATTAACAGCAGGAAAACAATCATCATAACTCATCATATATCTATTCACACAAGGATCCTGGTTTTGGTCTAGTGTATGAAATTCTGAGAGGAACACTTATGAAGGCCATCTACAACATGATGAACTTAGTTCACAGATAATTTTGAAGGTATATTTTTGTTGTTTTTCATTTCTGACACAGCTCTCTATATTTGTCAAGTCTACAGGGGCAAGCTACATCTAAAGAGGCTATAGCTCACTCTCCCCCTAATCTGTGCAAGGAAATTGACAGCACTCCAACACAGTCATCCATCCTTGGAGTGTGAGAACAATTATTTAACAACACAGCTTCATGCTTTCTCATTCAGTGCTTCAAGAACTGGAAACAACAATAACTATTTTAGGTGACAGTGAAATAGATATTCCCAGTCACATCTGGTCCAACACTGATTAACATTAAATACAAACCAGACCAATTTCTTTCACATAATACTGGATTAAGTCAACCAGTTTAATGAGGGAAATCTTTTACGAAGATTTAGAGCCCATCAAGGAAGAACCAGGAGGGACACAACACTCTTAACATTGAGTGATTTATCTTATCCTATATGGTTAAGTAGTTTTGAGAGGTCAGGTGCATGTTTCTCTCCATTAACTCTCAGTGCAGTACAAGGTGAGAATGTCAGCTTTACAGGTCTACCTTTGGGATGCCTAAAGTAAAATGGGAGGCATCCCACCTCACATACTCACTAACTGATCACTTATACTAAGGAAAGAGAAAGACAAGAGAAGTTGACGGCATTACTCATGCTTAAAACAGTGGGATCTTTGTTATTTATTGTGACATTGCTTATTGGAGCTATCTGAAATGACCTCTGCTTTGTTTAAGCTTAGAAGAGAACCACAGTTCTACTTGTCTTCTCTCAGCTTCTCGGCTTTCTTAGTCAACATTTACTAGTACATTTACTAGAATCAACATATTTTCAAACTGTACTGAAACTTCATACAAAGCGAAAGATAAAGGATCTTCAAGAAGAATGGAAGAGTGTTATTCCTGGCTGCCCTGCTCAAGAATACACAGCATAGATTTCCCTAAGCTACGTTACTGCCAAGGCTACAGCTTTCCAGATCTTAAGGGTGTGTGCATGCATGCACTGAGAAGAGAATTATGCTTAAAAATCTGAAAAACAAGCAGGTTGTAACTTTCTTTTGTGGTTATTATTCCACTTAACTCTCCTTGATGTGTTATGTTAACCAAATTACACCAAGAAAGAAGATGAAGGAATGTATTTCCATGTAAAATGGGCAAAAAATTATGAAATTAAAGCTATAGAGCTTAAAATATCCCTTGGTAGTAACAATTCATTTATGTTTTTTATTTTTGAGAAATCATTATGCTGGACAGTAAAAGGATAATAAACCTTTTGAAGGAATGAAATCAAAAACACCTTTAAAAAATAAAATGTGGTGCTCCAAAATAATTTATATGAGCAATTTTCTTCATATTTCTCAAGATCTAAATATTATTAAATTCTATTAAAGAGAAGACCAGTACTTGTTCCACAAACAAAATCAAGTAGCAGTAAAACTACATAGAAATAATCATATTAGGACCTACCATATTAGGATAGTGAAAAAATTGAGTTAAATCCTTTTGGCGTTATCTGTATCAAGTTCAACGACACATTAGAGAGTACTGTAGAAGTTTCTAAGAAATACAGTCTCTTCAGTACAGTAAAAAGAACTGTTTATATTAGAAAATATTTTTAAAAGGACCAGCATGAATTTAAGTAGTTATGTTTTAATTTTGGAATTATTTCATCACTGAAAATAATAGCTAGGGATTAAAGTATGTATTCCACAGTTCTGTCTCTCAAAATATGTATATTTATAGTTGTAGACAAGAAGATAACACATCGTTGCAACTGGGAACCAAAACCGAGGGCTGAATTACTGTTAAAAACAGCCGGTCTTCTCAGAAGTCAGGTCTGAACTACCAGTTACTGCCTCTATGCCTGGTCAATAAGGTTACTCACCTTTTCTTATGTCACAGTCAAAGACAAGTGTATGCATTTAATCTCCCCATCACGTAATGTCATATGGGCAGGGAGAAACGCACATTGTGCAATGCAGACAAGTATCAGCACCGCATCCACAAGGCAGGTAATATCCAAACCATGGTACTGTTCCAAAAGAAAGTGAGGCAACTTTCTGCACTGTGCCTTGCAGCCAAGGGAGTCACTAGCTAACAGCACTCTGATCATAGTAAGATTCAAAATGCTGTAGAAATTCCAGAAATGCTCAATGGAACTGCTTTTCCATTCTGTGTGAAAAGCACTACACAGAAAAAAAGAGTCTGTTCCAGCAGATTACAAGAAAAGAAAGATATTGGGAAAATGATATAACAATACAAGTGTAGTGGGTTTCTGTGGCTGGGTTTTGGTAGTGGGGGGTGGGCTACAGAGGTGGCTTCTGTTAGAAGCTGCTAGAAGCTTCTCCTGTCCCATGGAGCCAATGCCAGCCGGCTTCAGGATGGACTTCCTGCTACTGGCCAAGGGCAAGCCATCAGGAATGATAGTAATGCCTCTGTGATAACATATTTAAGAACAGAAGGTTGTGGTGCAGAAGGAATTCCAGCCAGGGAAGAGCAGAGAGAAAACATGGGAACAACAAGGTAAACACCAAGGTCAGTGCAGAAGGAGAGGGAGGAGGTGATCCAGTTGCCGGAGCTGTGGCCCCTGCGGACCATGGTGCAGACCACGGTGGAGCAGCTGGGCCCCTGCAGCCCATGGAGCACCACTGGGGTGCAGAGACCCACCTGCAGCCCATGGAGGAGCCCATGCTGGAGCAGGTAGATGCATGAAGGAGGCTGTGACCCCGTGGGAGGCCCAAGATGAAGCAGGGTCCTGCTGGAGACCTGAAGCCCATGGAGAGGGAAGCCCACGCTGGAGCAGGTTTTTCCCGGGTAGGACTTGTGGCACCTGTGGGGACCCACGTCGGTACGGCTCATTCATGAAGGACTGCACCCCATGGAGGAGTGACCCACAGGACAGCAGTTTGGGAAGAACTGTTGCCCGAGGGATGGACTCACGCTGGAGAGGTCCATCAGGGACTGTCTCCCATGGGAGGGACCCCAGGGGAGCAAGGGAAGGACTCCTCTCCCTGAGCAGGGGCAGGAACAACAACTGACCGTAACCCCCATTCCCTGTCCTCCTGCACTGTGGGGCAGAAGGGAGAACATGGAAAGAAGGAGGTGTTGGGGGAAGATGTTTCTAAAACTGTTTTATTTCTCACTCTTTGGCTCTTATCCTGTTAGTAATAAATTTAAGTCCTATCCCCACTTTGAGTCTGTTTTGCCCATGAAGGTAATCAGTAACCGACCTCTCCCAGCTCTTAACTCATGAATCCTTAGCTGTTTTTTTCTCTCTCCTCTGTCCAGTTGCAGAGAGAGAGTGAGAGAGTGGCTTTAGTGGGTACTGGGCATCTGGCCAGAGTCAACCCATTACAACAAATCAGGGCAAAAAAAAATTACTAAAGCTTAAAGGTGCCTTCCATAACAAATTAAACACACCACAAGGGTCAGTTATAAAATAAAAAAAAAAAAGGAGAGGCAGGGCATTAGGGAGAAACAGAAGAAAAAACCTTCATTCATTAGAGAAAGAGGAAAGAGATTATTTATCTTCAAAGTGTAAAATTGAACTTGCTGCAAAATTGATCAGATATCTTCAGACTCGGAAATACCCTATGGCAATTATTGATCAAGAGGAGTGAACGTGCCACAGACCAGGTTTATGTGCCACAAAAAAAAAGGAGGAGAGGGGACGCAAAAGAACTTCCGTATGTTTAAGACATACTTAAGTTTGAAGCACACTCAACTGCTGAGTTAACAGTTGCATGAGCTATTGCAGCAGTGTATGAGGATAGACGATCTTCAGGAAAACATACCTGGCTAGATTGAATGCATCATCGATTAAGCCTGCTCGATTACTGACAGAGATAACCTGTGAGGGCCAAGCACAAAAATTGAACCATTTAGGGTGATGGAACAGTGAAGGTTCACCTATGAAAGCAGATTTTAGGGATGAGAATAGGAGCTTACCTCATGGTTCCTTGTTAGCTGATTAATTAGCAGCCTCCAATTCCTAATATCATAATTAACTCTAAAGTAGCCAGTCTGGTTGATGTTCCCCAGCAACCAACCTGCCTCTTCGAAAGCAGGAATTCTGTGGTGTTCTGGAAACAAAGAACAAGAAGGGAAGGGGTTTTGGTTTTAAATTTAAAAATTATAAAGACATATCAGTTAAATTTTCTCCTTCTTTAAGTATACATGAAGGCAGTAAAATTAAGTGAAAGACTAACAAAAACATTGTGCTTGATTAACAATAATCTCCTTTATCTGTTCTGATGTAGAGAGATGCCAGCTGACATTCCCATGGGGACCTTTTACCCACACAGAACTCCAAGTATGCTTTTTTGTCCCCTGGAAAATACTATTTATGTGAAAAGTACACATCTTAAGTTTGGTACCCTGATTCTGGTGATGCTAAAACAGCTTTCTACAACTGTAACTCAAATAATTCAACCGATATGTTATAGAGAGAAGACTAAACCTGTGATTAAAAAAATAAATTCCTAAGTGTTTCTGCATGTATTTGATGAAGCTTTTACATTGGATTCTAAATTAAAGTATTTCCAGTTGTACAGCTTCTAGCTACTAACCACAGAGAGGCATCTCTTTAGAGCTAGAACCTTATATCAACTAACCTGTTCTTCATCTTTCCCCTCATTTTAAGTAATCACTTCGGGGCAGAAAGTCTAAATTTATTACAGTATTTCTACAGTCAAGTAAACCACAACTATTTGCACGACTAGGGATTTCAACAACAAAAACACGCTGAACTCACAACACACACTTTTGTTTCACTATGGAAAGAATTACCATAGGATGAAGCCTCAGGCTTCAGTGTTTCTTGAAGAAGTCTTCAATCTAGTAAATTATTCTGACAAAACTAATCGTGAACCAGAACTCACTAAAAATTCCAAAACTTTTTTTTTACTATAATAAAATTAGTTTGTACATTGTTGAAGGAACAGTTTTCTCAGGCATTTTTAAAATAAAAAAGAAATACATAGAATTTGTTATAAATGTAATTCCATCAGGGAATTGCTTAGTTTGCTTGAATTCGCTGAAAGTAACGATCAGGAAAAAAGTTAACAACGTGGTCTTTACAATTCACACATGTTATCTAGTACACAGATTTACTAAAGAAAGTGATTTGTTTCAGTCTTTCTTATAAAAAAAGTAATTTCTGAGTAAATAATAGATGACTAGAACTACAAATAAAAGTTATGCTTCTCCCTCAACTAAGCAAACACACAAATAACTATTATTTTAAGGTGCAATAAATACAAAGATCAGCAAGACCCCAATCTTAAAGACACATAATTATATATGCAAATTCATGGAGCTGCATCATGCACATGAATTTAGACAAAAAGCTGCAGGATTAGAAAATAAAGTCCTCATCTCTCCTAGGGAGTTCTGAAATCATTAAAACATCTTAAAAATACACTTCTTAGAAATATTAAGCCTAGAATAACTCAGTTGTTGCCTACTCAATTCAACTGTTATTGCTCCTTTAGGGTTTGTCTAACAGACTCTTACCAGCTCAATTTAATTACTCTATATAAACAAATGAGAAAAAAAAATACAGACCCCTGGGTTTAGTGAAAATAATCTGTGATAAAGAACCAAGTGGACATATTCTTTAGGAGCCAAGATATCCTGCAGAAATTGGACTGAGAAAATCAGAATGAAGTCCTACAACTCTGTGGACTTCCCAAGCATTCATACTGTCAAAGCACCTAAGCTGCTTTTGCCACACAGTCTGATTTGGGACAAGGTTGTAACACTGTGTGTCCCTTCTTCCACAGGGGTCTAATAAACACTGGGCTGTGCAGCTCAGTCCTTAGCAAACTCTCTTAGACTGCTATACTGAAATTGCTCTTCTGTTTAAATCCTTTTTTCACTGGACCCAACGTCAGAACCACCCCACTGCACCATGCTACTTAGAGATGACTTGAATCCTGTTTCCTGTGTAACCTTATAAAAACATTACTATAGAAAAATTATATGAGATTGTAACAATTTACACCATAGTGATAAAGGCATTTTCTTAGAACAGATTTGGATCGAATATCTCCCGTAAAAAAAGGGAGAGAAGAAATTTGAATCCGGATCTACTCCATCCCATTTATTTTTCCCAGTGTGGTGCTTTGAATACAGCCTGTCACCTCTAAAGATCAGCTATATTCTTTACCAACATAGTGGGTTTCTTAAAGAAACAGAAAAAAGTACACACTTCTGTATCTAGGAGACACTGCTGAGGGAAAGGATGACTTTAAGAGTTTCTCTGGGTTTTTAGGGGCATACTGCCATGGTAGGGTCAGGAGCGGGCTGCTCACTCTAGGCAGAAAATCTTATCACCTTAATGCAGTACAGCCTTCTGCCCATGTTCTTCAGTTGCAAACTAACCTCTAAATACAACCATTCCTGAAAGCAGCTACTTGTGACTGCTTAATCCCCACACCTCTATGATACTACCTAAAAGCATACCAAATGGGCTATAAGCCTTTCTTAAGCATTATCTGGGTAAATAAATTCATTAAATGGAAATTTTCAAAATCCGATGTAACAAAAAAATACATACCCTTATTCTTGTTTCAGTATTTGAGGAAATTACTTCTGCTTTAATAGAGCATTGAATGGTACTTGCCAGTCAAATTTGACAAGTTCTAAATAACCTATTTCATAAGTAACAGCTATGCAACATCCCCAACACACATGGCATTAAAGGAGAATACCTTTCAGAAGCTTGATGGCATTATTGCTGTTTTGGTTAGTTTAAATACAACCATAACCACTTGCTATTATTTTCTGGTAAGACTGCTCCTGTGTTGACTTTCTCCTGAAATATGGAACAGGAATCTTTCACACCTTCTCAGCTAATATAAAAAGGTGGTTATTTCAAGGAGCTGCCTGATGCGTGCGCTTCACACAGTTCTATATTATTTAGTAGAATTTGATATTTGTGTTTGTCAATTCTCACATTTTCCTATAAAAGAAATTCTTTGTTTTGGTGATTATAGCACTAAAAATGTCTATACACCTGGGTAATGTCTCCACTTACTAAAAACACATTTATTAGTCTCCTGTTAAAAGTATTATAGTTAGGGAAAAGGTAGTAATTCAGTGTTAAATTCTGTATTAGAACACTCATGACTTTCTAAACAACAACAAAGACTTAATTTGAAATGAAATCTATCTTTGACGGTTTTAGTTCACCTCTTAAAATTCAATCTAAAATATATATCCAGTTGTATTTGAGATTAAAGGGAATTTTTTTAATCTTCTTTCATCAGAAAGTGCTTTTCCCTTGTTGTGTTTTCTCTGGATGCCTCAGAAAACAATGCTGCTCTGAAACTTCCAGTTTTGCCACATACATATAGGAAATATTTACAAGGAAATGTTTAAGTTTTATGACATTTGTTTTGAAGGAAGAAAATCAGCTAGGGTCTTATTCCCAGTTTCTCTGCTCTCAAAGTGTGAGACAGTCCTCCAGCTAATGCTACCTGCACGTGGCTTGAAGTTCTGTGCTCTCCCAGCTCTCGAGCAACTTCAACTCCTTCAAAACCAGCAAAAATGATGGAAGTCTGCTCCTCCACACGGTAACCCAAGCACCATGTGAGGTAGGTCTGGGAGAAGGGCGCTCCTCTGGAAGACTATGTCAGTGCTGCAAAGAGCATAGCTAAACACAGTTCCACTGCCATTTCAAATGTTCAGACTCACAGTTGTTATTTTAACTCTTCATTTTATACAACCCCTAGCATACTAAGAAATTGGCTTATGCTGAGAGAACTCACTCCATTTTGCTGCAAAAATAACTGCACAAGTGTAGCAAAATTCTATGTCAAGAACAGAACGTGATATTTTTCTGGCAAATAAAAACATTCCATGAGGAAATTCATCATAATCACAATATTTTGTGAAAAGATACTGACTAACTAAATTCTACAAATCTTCTTGCATGAACTTTTCATATGGGGAGAAGGAAACCAGAAAAAAAGTTCTATCTCACTTGCCATGTAGCCATAGCTCCATGATGAAAGAAAATGTTTTGGTATAGGGAATAACACAATAAATGAAGGTCATCAGGAAATATGATCAAAATGATCAAGTTCTATCTCACATAATCTTTCCTCAGACTACCCTTCCATCCATTAACATTCCTATATGATGGAACTGCTAAAGTCTAAGGTGATACACAGTGTAAGCAGCAGTCTTCTGTCTCTTCCTCCTGCTTTTGAAAGATACAAGAGTGGAGTCTGGAAGCAACACAGGTAAAGCTCAGCAGCTGAGTCTCCGAAAGGGAAAAAAAAAAGGTATTTTTCTAAAGCTACAACTAATGCTCTCTTTCCCAGTGGGCAGCTAGCAAACCCCAGCTCAGAAGCATCTGTCTCCTACAAAACACTTCATGGAGGAGAATCTGACGGTCAAGTGGCTTACAGCTAAAGTAGAGATTTAGCTAATAGGAGGTGGAATAGTAAATTGGGACTTGTTGTTGGAAGTCAATTTCCATGTTGAACTTCCTTTCCCCCATCTTATGGCAATCCTGAGGAGATACTTACAGCAATCTGAATAGCAGTCATTTTATCAGAGGCAGAGTTCATCAGAGGAATATTTCCCCAGAACGTAAGAAATCAGTCAACAAACAGGAAGGGGGGATGGAAAGGACAGACTGTAAAGCTGTGTCAGTCAGTTCAGCAACACTTGCTGAGTTGCATGGAGATGTTTCCTACTTGGAGACTGAGCACCAGAACAATGATGCCCAGGGAACAGCAAGTCTGCCTTTATCAAAAGCTCTGCTCGTCTGTTGAAAATCGATGCTACCTAAACCTTCTCACTTCAGGTCATGGTCAGTTCTTCTGCATTTGCCGAAACATGACAGGTGAGCCTGTGCTTCCACACTTAGTATGCCTTCAGCAGCAATTGCCAACACCTTCCCACAAGCCCAGCTAAGCAGTCATCTTGTGGGGCTGTAATGGGTTCAAAGCCAGTCCTTGACTTTTTATCCACTACTTTTGGGGGGATCCCAAAACGCTGTGGATACATGGTTATAGATTATTACAGCAACCACAAAAGAGGCAACTTATCTAGGCGAAACAGAAACAAGCCCTAGATTTATGACAAAGTAGAAGTTTGTAACACCAGTGATTTCCCCAGTGGCAGTGAAATTTATCATTCAGCAGATCTGCAAGATTAAGGTACAAAGAGCATTGCAGCCACCTTGGTGTGATATCTCTGACCTCAGCATGGATAGGAAGGTTAATCATAAGATGTCTCCTTTGTGACTGGTTTACACTCACTTGAAGCAGAACACCCTCATCCACGGCTATAGGGAGTGAACAGGGAAAAAGTGGTGGTGACCTACCTGTGCAGAACTCTGAGAGCAAACAAGACAGGTCCATTTCACACACCGGACAACTAAGCGAGTAAAATGGTCATCATCTGGTGGCAGGTATATGAACTGATGAGTACAAACATGGTTACAAAAATGCCACGGCTCACTGGGTAAGGAGAAGAGAGACCGGCAGAAGCACTTGGAAAATGAAAAGCTTCCAAAACTATAACTACACACCTTCCACAAACAGGTGGGAAGAGATATATTGAAAATGAAACATCTTGGAGACAATGAATTTCATCAGACAGTTGCCAACGTCTGGCATTGTCTTCCCTACAGGATTTGCTGCAAAGGATAATGAATTACATCTCAAAAAAGACACTGCATAGCTGTAATTTCTAGAGCAGGCCTTTACTGAAGAGTGGACAGAATTAGCACTGTTGCCAGCAGCTGGGATGATCTGCAGTTATCTGAACTAATCCTGCTCAGCATATTGAACAATCACTTATCTGCATGCTCACTATCTCTGGTATAGAGCCAGACACTGACAGGATGAGTAGAGAGCAGCAACTCAATCATCCTACATTCATGTGGCTCTCACAAAACTGGATAGCAACCTCTTATCCCTTGTTCATGAAAATGCCAATTGGCATCCTACAATACCTTGATGAGGTCACAGACTCAAAAAGGATGCAAAAATCAGCAGTTCTCTCTCTTGCCTCTCTGGACGTACATGAAGGAAAAGACTCTTCCATCAGCAAATAACCATCCTAGGTGAACTCTAGTGCAAGGCAGGGGATTTACTCCCCTGAGATATTATTTGAAATACCAGAAAAAAGGAATATTTCTTGATGGCAATATATGTAGCTATTTCAAAATTGCCATGGTTTTGTTTCTCTCAGATAACCCACAGACAAGGTTAATTTTATTGAAAAATTTAAGTGATATGCCAAGATATCATAATGGTAGTCATTAATTTGAACCCTCTTCACTATTGGCAGCAGCAATGAGGTCTGTGATCAGTAATACATGGCAAACAAAAGAGAGCTGTTCATTACCTCCTATCCACTCCTAAGGTTACACTGGAAGCTCTTCCAGCATGACAGTTTGGTTAAAAAGAAGGAATTGCCTACTCTTTCCTCAAAGAGCACAGAAACCATCCTCGTGAACAGCATTTATTCCAAACTTGATTTGAGTATCTCATTCAATTATACTCACTTGAAGAACAATGTGACCACTCCCAATCTTCCAAATATCCTTTGGAGTAGTTTGTTTCACCTCCAACTTGCAGAGTTGTTCCCAGACTACTCACTGGGACAACACTGAAATTGTGTCCTCTGTACAACAGAATGTCTTCATGATTCTTCCGGTCCACAAAAATCAATCCTGGGAACTGTCCTTTGGAGTCTCAGAATCCCTCCCACATCCCCACAAAACAAATATACCAGCTGCAGAAAAACTCCAGGAGTAACACAAAATCCTCTATACCAGCCTCAATACATAACAGCATGTACAATGAATCATACATTGAGTACATTCAGGGATGTTCTTACTGACTTTTTATGTTGAGGAATTCTCCAGCTGAGCTAGGTAACAATAAGTAGAAGCAAGAGGACATGCTTGATGTAGTCATAAGTTTACAGCCTCATTTTCAATGAGGCACAGTAAGTGAATGAGTGAGTGAAAGTAATGAGGACGAACAAGGATAATGGCAATACATCACAGTGCCATTGATTTGCTATACAGGAGACAGATGACTCGGAAAGGTTCCTCTTTAATTTCTATATAGTAGCCACCCCAAAATAATTGCTTACACTGGCCATCATTAATTTGTTGATTTCTTGAAGGCATTCCAATAGGAACAGTAGATCTTAAAAGAGTGGGTAGCAGTTTTATGGACTTGTTCCTCCACAGCACTCTGCATGCAAAAAGCAATGAGGAACCATCTGTGTAGATAACAGTGATATAATGAACTTTGAAGGCAGGAGCGAAGGGAAGGAGGCATGCATGTGCAACCTAATGAGATGAGATGAGGTGATCAACTCTCTCTGAAGTCAGTGGGAATCTTTCTGATAACTTCAATGAGAGTTCAGTCAAGCCCTAAAGGACAAAAGTAGAGCAGGTCATTAACGCAGGCTGTGAAAGTGCAAACAGGTTTTGAAGTATTTCAGAGATGTTCATATTAAAAAGTATGGCCAATGTAGTAAGTTTCTGAGAAGTGAAGCAGCATCTGTATGCTCTTACTAGAGTATGTTTCCCAGGTACAAAAAAGCGCCCTGATCACAGGCACATTTCTAGATCATTATATCATGGGAGCGGTATAAAACATGTTGCTTTCTCACAGGCTGTAAATGATCAGGGTAAAGAAACACACCCTATACCACTAGAAATTTGGGGTACTCAGATTTCTACTGATCACGCACCATACATCTCCATTCCTACTGGCTATTGAGCTCTATGTGACTAATATATTATAGTAACTTATAAAAGAGGAAAAGAAGTCTCACACAGGTTTGACACCCTCATCTCTCCCAATAAATTTCTATCAGAGGGAAATCTCTATACCCTTCTAATTTTACAGGAAGAGATCAGTTCTCCCTGTACAGCCCATGTGTCAAGGGGATGCGTGGATCCTTCTTTTCCCTTCCATATAATCCTTCTATTCAAGTCTCCATATGTCTTCCCTCACTCTCTTCAATTCCAGTCCAAAATTGTCAGACAATGTAGCATGAAGTGCTAAGGAAATAAATATTTCAGGACATTGCTATGGCAGGATTCCTTTTTTTTAGGTGATAAAAAACCACTGGTATCTAGCACTCACTGTCCTCAGGACAATAACTATTACTGTTATGATCATGTAGGAACTGAGGAGGAAGAAAAAAAAGTAATAAGCAGAATAATGCACTTTTGAGGTCCAGCATATGGTTATCTAATAGAGAGAACAAATACTTTTGATAGATCAATAAGGAAAATTTTAGTTACAGCAAACATTTCTTAGCCCTGGTTCAGACCACGGATCAGAGTCAAAAATTATAGAATTCTAAATTTACTAAATCATACTCATCAGATGCTTTGCTATAAAATAATACATTTCACTTTCATCAATCAATAAATGAATTGCATTCATCAATGATTTGATATGTGTTGCCAAATATAAAATACTTAGCATTTAGTTACATATTTCTACGTAAAAGCTTTACATCATACTGTCTAAATTCTGCAATAATTATAAATCTAGCTTGTTGCTCATCTTTCATTCCTCCTCCCTCCCTTCCCAGCTCTCCTTTTTTTTTTTTTTGTAATTCATTTTAAGTAGTTAAACCTGGGTGCAGAGCAACTAAACAATTATCTAGGATCAATTCCAAAGAAACAGTTGAGGAAAACACAAGTATGCTTTATGAGATTCCACTGGGAGGAAAGTTTATTTTTACCTGATTTGTTAGACACCCATATAATTGCCTCTGATGAGATGTGGCTCGTATTTCCTACTGCAATTGTTAATGGAATCTGCCACAAGTAGCTGCAAGACAAAGGAGGGGGAATCTAAGAACAAAAATACTGAACTGATTCTTCTCACAGCAATCAGGGATCATGTCAAAGAAATCAAAACACAATTTTAGTAGCACTGTAAAGATCTGTGGATTCTAAGAAGTTACTCTGATTTTGAAATGCATTTGCTATTAGCAATAAAACAATGAAAAAGTCATTCATTTAAAAAAACCTCCTAAATTATATTTTACATTTTTCACACACTATCATTATATGAGGACTTTTTTGCAAGGCTTTTCCTAATTTTACAAAATGATTCGCAAAAGAGGAAATAATGATTTCTCATATAAAGAACACTTTTTTATATTTACGTAGAAAAAGACTACCAGTTTAAAAATAACATACTCTTCTAGTAACTTCTGAAAAAGCTACAACTGGCTTTCCTTGCTGCTGGTTTATAAAAACAAAATGAATGGGATGGATCTCCACTTCTTTGCACCATTTATTATCACCTGTGCATATGCAAACTTGACAAAACTTGCTTCATATGGTTTGGTGATATACTGGTGTAATCAGACCCCAAATTCCTTATATGGTATTAAAAATTGTTTCTCATTTGGAGTAAATGTTATAATTTACCTAAAATTTTTATATAACATCTTTTTCTTAATAAGCAGAAATTGACTGTATGAAATCAATTTTTGGGGCAAGGACAGAAAGGATGAATTCCTGCATGTCTTCATGACCTCTATTCCTGAACTCTCAAAAGTACCATTTCACCAGTCAGTGAAAGAGTGGACATTTCCCTGACAGGCCTGCCACATCATTTTGTAAACCAGTCAAGAGGAAGCACTCAGTAATGATACAGGTGGTACCTTTGCTGGTCTTTGAGTAGGTGGTCTAGGGGGAGTATTTATGCAGTTAAGCAATGCAGCATGGCAAGAGAATGGCCTCAACTCAGATATCACTGTATACTTCCCCTTTGATACCAGGTACATAATTTTTGACTGATTGTATTAAAATAGTGTGTGTGGGCCAGTTCTTGATGTCAGCATCAGCTTCTCTCCTGCTAGTACACAGCATTGCAAAACTAGCCCATGGTGCTAAAAAAACAATTGGTTTTGCTCCTTTCCACTTATCCAGAAGCCTGATGCACTGAATTACAAAAATTACAAACACCATCCAGATGTTCCACAGCTGCAGTCAACATGGGCTGGCTTGCAAGGGTGGCATTTGCTGGCCTGACTTGGGAGTCTGGGGAAGAGAGAGAGACCCCTGCTCTGCCTCCACACTTTGCTCCCGGCTCCCCACACATTTGCAAAGAGCCCTCAGCACGCACAGGGATTTGTATTACTTAGAACAGAATCATGTGTGCTGGGAAACACTTGATCATACAGCAGCGATTCAGCAGAGGGGGAGATATTTGGGCAACCATACAGCTGAAAGAGCTATGAATGATAGTAGAAAGGAAACATGGCATTTATTGCCAAGTGGGAGAAGAAAAAGGTTCCGTGTGATTTTAGGTTCTCTGAGTGTTGGTATCATGACTGGGAAAACTCAGATCTACTCCTGCACTGAAGATAAGCTCCACATGAGTACAAGCCCTGGCAGATATTTTTTGGATAATTGAGCTGTGGCATTTGAAGGTGCTTATGGCTTTATCAGTCTGCCCATTCCTTGTGCTGAACATTGACACACTCCATAGCATGGCCAGCAGAAAAGAATGTCCACTAGGTGCACAAGCTTCTGCAGTTCTCTATCTGGGGTCCTCACACAAAATTACCCTCCTTGTAGGCTTAACAAATATTCTGGACTGTGAACTGGAGCAATGAGATGAAAGTGTGTTTTGTGTCCTGCTGCTTCTGCTACAGTGTCAATAATTTCTGGGTTCAACAGGTGAGGGCACTCAGGGAATGCTGCAAAGTGATGCACCAGATTATATTCACTACTCTCTTAACTACCTTATACCTTACTAGACATTCACTAGTGTCTGTCCAAAAAAACTCTTTGGAAATATATCACCTTTAAAAACATATCCAGTTCTAAATACTTGGTTCTCCAGAATGAAAAAGATGCTGGAAAACTGTGATTGAGAAAAACAAGGCAAAATTTGCATAAAGCTTTTACATTATTTGAAAGAACAGGAACACTGGCATATGAAAAAAAATAAAAACTGCATTTGCATGGAATTTTTATGACCTTTCAGCTCCTACTGAAAAAGCTAAACTGCAAAATAAAAGATACTGAGAGCTGCCTATGTAGATGATTTAAGCACATATATACACATTCACAAATATTCATGTATGAACATACACATAGACACCTGTTATTTTCAGAAGGAATTTCATAGAAATGTATTTTGCACATTGAAGTATCTATACAGAGAAGAATTTTATATTACTTGACATTATTTTGCCTCCAATTAAGATAAATCCCACTGAAATAAGGACAGATCCTTCTCTGAAAGGTGATCCAGCTGTCACAAAAGTTACTCCTCCTCAGAAAATATGTGTGGACTTAGTTAGGGAGACTAGTACTGGCAAATTTAACTTTTATCTCCCCAATATGAGAGACCTCCTGATATTCTTGGTGCTCTCCAGAACCTCCAAATCTCACTCTCTTGACTATTAGTTTCCCAGGTGAACCACGGGTTTCCTTTTAATAGGCATCTCCAGAAACATATTTTTCCTACTTTATTGCTGCTGTTCTCTCTGTTTATCTGTTTTCTCATTCCATTTCTCTTCATTCTCAGAGAAACTTCTGCTGCTGTTGCAGAAGCAGCTGTGGCCAGCTTTTTCTATCTATGTGAGAGAGACATATCTGGCTCACTTTTCAAGAAGACAGCTTCCACTCACTGAGTGATCTGTACAGACTTTGTTCTCCAGGTGTGACTGGGAAGAGGCAAACTTTGTTTGCACTTTTCTATCACAGTATTCTGCTTTACAAAGAAAAGAGGAAAAAGGGGGCCTGTTTTCCTCATGCTTTGTCTGTGAGTAGTGTAGACCTATTATTTATATTTTGGGAGCACCACCAGTGTGCTCTCAGTATGTATTTGTCATTAAAAAAGAAAAGGAAAGGTTCCTGGCATTTCAGATTCTGCACACCTCTTAAACTACTTTTTCACGTTAATGAATGTTTTTGCTGAGATGTAAACCCATACATTTTCAAGATTCATCTTCCCAGTAACCATAATGTGCCAAGCTTCATGTAGGCATTAGCTGGCACTGGTGAAATCCCAACCATCATCTTCTGTGACTCAGTTTCTCCGGCATTAATTCAATTGTGCAAGGTGATGTCAACTGAGCTGTCACAGGGTACTTGAGACATCTGCCATGGGCTGTTAGATATGACAGAGCACCTAAGGATGCTTCCACCCTTGTAATGGCAGCACAAGGTAAAGTAAGACACCTTAGAACACCTTGAATGGCACCAGTCATCTGTGCAAGCAACTAAATGGGTCTCTCTCTCCACTTGATGTTGACCTCTCATAATTAAACCTGAGTTTCCCAAGGAAACTTTTCAAAACCAAGCTGCTTGTAAGAAAAAGAAGGCTTCAGCACAGATTTTCAAATACAGTATTTAAAACAGGCGCTGCTGCAACATTTTATAACTACTGTTTTAAATAAGAACTTTCAGTTTACTGATTCAAAAAAATGCAGGGAGAAGTTAAAATGACTGAAACTGAAATGTAAGGTAGTGAAATTACAGAACTGAAATGAATGTTCTAAACTAATTATTCCCCATTTTTTGCTTTGATTTTTGTCCTGATTCAATAGAGGGAAATGTTTTGATATGTTGAAAATTTCTGTGGGATGGGAATCCATTACTTGTTCATCAGTAACACTTACTAATCTTTGTAAAGTATTTTGAGAACATAACAATCTAAGACCTTATATCACTGAGAGATATGATTAAAGCTATTTAACTCAAAGTGAGGCATAAAAATAGTTCAAGAGTAAAAAGCATAAAACAAGAATCCAAGAGTAAAACTGACTGGTTAAAACACCTACCCCCTTTTTTTGCCACTAGAACTTAATAACCAAAATACCAACTCAGTCTCTTCAGTTAAAGATAACAGTCTGGTACGTCCAGAGTGGGTGAAGATGAGAAACAGAGAGCAAGAACTCCTTGGTGTTAGTTTCCTGTTCTCAGCTCTCTCCAGATGGAAATGCTGAAATCTCATGTACACACACATCTTAGGTGAGCAGCACTGAGTCTGAGGAGGGGACGCTTTCCCAGTGTGGCCCTTGCAAACATTGGTGATTCCCTGAATAAGTTAGGATGCTGATAAGCATTTCTTATTAAGGGAATATTTTGCTATGAGCCATCTGCATGAACTTATGTTGTTCGGATTTCAGGGACAAAAGAACACAAAAGCAAAGCAACAAGAAAATCTGACCTTTTGGAAAGCAAGTAAATCTTATAGAACAAAAATTAAAATTTGAAGATTTGTACTTTTCCTTTGGTTGAATACTTGGCTGATCTCCAGAGACATATACAAATAGTGGCTAGTAAAAGATGCATTTAGCTGCATGACTGCAAAAGTTTCTGGCTAATAACCTTAATGCTTATTATAAATTAAAAGGCACACAGAGTTGATAATATGAACTAAGTAAAGGATTGTGTGACATTAGGACATTAAATAAATACAGAAGAAAGACAGCAGAGATCTCTCATTACTTCTTACCAAGACAAGTGCAAAGCAACCTTTCTGTCAGCAAGGTTTGGAAGGTTTGGGCTACTGCTTCATAGTAGCCGGTATGGGGCTATTTTTTGGACTTGTGCTGAAAACAGTGTTGGTAACACAGGGAAATTTTAGCTATTGCTGAGCAGTGCCTACACAGCATCAAGGCCATTTCTGCCTCTCATCCCACCCTACCAGCAAGGAGTCTTGGGGTGCACAAGAAGTTGGGAAGGGGCACAGCTGGGACAACTGACCCTAACGGACCCAAGAAATATTCCACACTATATGATATCATGCTCAGTATGTAAAGCTGGGGGAAGAAGGAGGAAGTGAGGACATTTGGAGTG